AATCTAATAGTCTCTGACAGTCATGAGGAGTAAGAGATCAATGACACGAGCTGTGGTACACATTACATTTTATTTAACATGTGTATCAGAGGGAGATCAGGAGGAGTATGATGATGTGAAGAACAGCAATGAAGATGAGATGAAGATGTCTCCTTTTTTCCATTTATTAAATAATAATTTGCTCAAATAAATGTATTCATTTTAAATATTGAATACAACATTTAAGATGATATATTTGCTTTTGTTTTTTCATTACAGACTATGATGATGTGGGGGGAGGAGTCACAAAATGAGGGTGGGACTGTATGTAGTGGCCACACCCACTGCTTTGGTTAATTAAATCACAATTTAACAGCTTTAGATTTGGGTTTAAATGATCTTACATAGCCACTTCAGGTTTTAAATTTGTTTTTATTGATGAGTTCAGTAGCTTGCATATTGTAAAAAATTGCTTGCTTTGCACAAGTTTGAAATTACTTTAGTACCATTTCTTTGCTTTTTTTTTTTCCTTAACACATGCATGATAAATGCATAAAATCATGCTAATTATTTTTCTCGTAAAAATAGTTGATTCTGTGCCTTATCACCCTCTTAAACTTGGAGGAATTTCCTTGTTCTGTCTTATCTAATTAAAACGAAAGAAAAAAACAGATGCTTATTTACTTATTTGACGTTTAATGCCCCCCCCCCAATCCTTATTAATTTATGGTTCATTTAAATATGAAAATAACCACCCTGAAACAGGATGTTTGCCTAAGTATTGAGTAGCTGTGTTAATAAAGTTAATGTATCCTGTTAATATGTTCCAAGTATGATTCATGTGCTGAAAAGTGAAGCCAAAACATTTTAATCACCCTGCAGTATTGGTCAAAAACCCTGCCCTGTGAACCAAACTAAAAAAACTATCTAATTACAGTTCAAATAAATTAAATAAAGTATTAAATTAAATAAAGTCAAATAAATAAAGGTGATTTATGTCATTTTATGCAGTTCTTGTTACAATTATGTATTTTAAGTGCTCTTTCTGTTAATTATTTTTTATTTTTTATTTTTTTTGGGGTTTTAGTTAGTTATTTGATGCTATAAAATGGGTTGTGATTGGGTCTTTGGGAGTTTGGGTGGGACTTTGATTCTGTAGCTCCACCTCATGATCACTACTGCATAGACTCTGGCTCCTAATGACGTCATCAGTGTAAGATGATAGCGGCCATTTCTGGGACATCTTGGCTTCGTTTTTCTACAGTGGAGGGAAATATAGACATGCTGTCCATCTTTTCTTAATAGTCATTTGTCTTAAAGCTGAAAAACATGCTGCCTCCAGAACAAGGCACGTTCGAATTCAATGATTGTCACATCCTGTCCTAATGAGATATATTCATCTGATCGATTTTTGGATGGAGTATAGACCCTAGTCAGGGTATCGCCATATTTAATTTTTGACTGAAAATAAAAAGATGCTGTGAGGAAAAGAAGTACATGCATTCAAAGGATTGTACTGTTGTTTAACAACATACCAGTTGTTCAGCTGATGAAAATCTTCCAAAAAAAAACAAAACAAAAACAAATTAGTAGACAAAATCTCCATCAAACAGTTTTGAAAGCTGTGAGTTGTGAAAATTACATGATCTAGAGCATTTATATACAGTGTGTGACATTGTAAAGACTGTAAGACTACACCTCACAGCCTTGTATTCATCTGCTTTAAAGTAGCTTAAATTCAGTATGTGTCTAACCTGACTAAGGTTTATGGATCTGTCTTTGGTATTCCACTATCCCGTGTTAAATTTTGTGCCGGTTGAGCACAAAAAAAAGGTGCTCTTTTTTTTTTTAAAGTTGCCTTTGGTGGTCAGTTTGTGTGTAATTACATTGTGTTGATCATTACACTGTTAAACTGTCTCAAAAGTTTGTCTGAAGTCAATTTTGTGAGGTAGCATACTGTGTGCAAATGCCTGCAAAGTCATTGCCTGATAGGGCATCCAGGCAATGGGTCCCCCTCGGTAGAAATCGCGGTCCGGTGGTACCTAGATTGGACTGAAATGGCACTTTAGCATCAGCGATTAAAGGGGCAGAGGCATTTCTAAGTAGTTCAAGACTGCTTCTACTCTTACATACACAGAACTTTGACTACAATCCAAAGGTTTTCCACCAAACCCAAACTGTAAAATATTCTGGACAAGAACCATCCGCTAACTTGTAGATGGGAAGAGACTGTTTTACTGACATGAAAAATGGCCACATTTAGTTTAGGTTTTGATGTAATTTTACGGCAGAGTTTATTTGAAAGGATGCTATAGTATATTGGATATTTCCTAATTTGACTTTATTCAGGATGCTATCAAAACCAAATTTTCTTCCATACTAAAATCTGTGGAGGTTCATTTATTATTTAATTGTTCTAGCACTACTCTGAGTTTGGAATTATGAATATGCAATGCAAGGTGTTTTAGCAGAAATGTAGCACAACTGCTCTCTCTGCTGCTAACAAGGTGATTATTTTCATTGTCAAATGTTAATCGTAAATGCTAATTTACATTAGTATTCATTTTACTGAGTTGAGTTTATTATGTGTTAATATCATGTATACATCATACATACACTAATAGATGTTTTGGACATACAGTATGCAGTTAGCTATCAGGACTTTTATCTCGTCTCTGCAGGTGTTTGGCTTTGATACTGTAAATAAACTGGAGAGTTTCCTGTCTCCTGCAAGTCTGTGTGTGTGTGTGTGTGTGTGTGTGTGTGCGCGCGTGCGTGCGTGCGTGTGTGTGTGCGTGCGTGCGTGCGCGCACATCCCCTCAGTGAGGGCTTGATGTGTGGGGAGGAGGAGTTCATCAGCACTGACAGTTTTGATATATATGGTGAAAATCAGAAAAGCGTCCTCTGATTTGTCACTGAAGTTGTTTGATGATTTCCTCTGTTGTGTCTAATAAGGTAATAGCGAGTGTGATTGGAGGGTGTTGGACCTCTTTCTCTCTCATTAAGGAGGCTGAGAGGATGCCAGTACTTCTGTATCATCAAGGCGGAGAAGCTTGTACTGGGTGTTAATCATGCTGAGGATGAAGGGAAGATGCCTGACACTCATTTTACTGTCTTCAGCAATACTCATCACAGCTGGTAAGTATAAATGAAATGAAAAGATTGTTATTTTTAGAAATTTATTTTAGAAATGAATGGGGGTCAGATTGTGTTCTTTAATCACTTAAAATTAAAGTGTACTGTAATGTGTTGTTTTGGATGATAGCATAATTGTCACAATATTTTGAATGTGATTCTGTATTGCTCAACAGGCAGTTTCTCTCTCTTTTTCTATCTCTCGCTCATGGAGTCACATATATTTTATAAACATCTATACGTTTTATATTATGGTCTTCTTTTTATTCACTATATTATCATTATAAAAATAATGTTAATATTTGTTATTTATGGAAAAGGTGCCATTATTATTGTTTTCCTGTCTTCTTGTTTTGTGATTGCAATTGAATTTAAAATTTCATGGGATATCAACATAGTAAATGTTGTCTCAACTTTGTTGCCTCAAAAAAAAAATTGTACTTCAGTCACCTCGATCACACATTTGGAGACATTTGAGTATGATCAGCAATAAAGTTCTGATAGGATAAACATTGATTTGGAACTATTACAGACAAAAACATGCTAGCTTGAGCGAGTGAACATTTACCAAAGAAAACTGAATTGCTCATTCATAATGCAGCAGAATAAATGTTATATTATGCCATGTCAAGATCACAAGAAAATTTAATTATGATCACGACAAAGCGAGACAGAAAAAATGCTAAATGCCTTTTAGTATTTGTTAATAAAGAATAACAATTTGGTCCCTCAGTAAATTCTCTTTGCCACCTTGAAGAATTCTCAGTTACTTAAAGTGTAGATAGACGGCCGGGAAGTAAGAAAACACACAGTCAAATGTATCCTCAATACTTCAATTTATTCATAGAAATACAGATATTATATAGGCATATGTCGAGGGGAGTTTCATCCTCTTAACCAATGAGGATATGAATAACATACACATAGGATCTTTGGCCAAGAACATGTGTTTATATAAAATCCACATGTACAGAAAAACATGGACATATAAGGAATAGACTTTTGCGAAGAATTCTGAACTGTCTTCAGAGTTTCTCTCGAACTCCTTTACCCTTGTAGTCCTAACATTCCTGTCCTCATTTGGGACATTTGAACCAAGAGAAGCTAATGTATACATTTAAGCATGCATACTTCGCATATAAGTAAGACATATTTAAAACATAATATCAAGAGAGAGAGATGGATACAGAAGGAGGGATTCAGAAAGAATGCGTTGTATATATAAGAATGAGAGAGAGGGAGAAAAAGGAGGGGTAAAACATGTCTGGACTCAACAGAAAGACAGAGAGTGTTTTCTAACAGTATTTCTGTGCTGTCTTACACAATATAATTTTTTTTTAGTAAAAAAGGGCTCATCTGCAGAAGAACTATGTAGATGATAAAACAAAAACAAATATTAAACAAAATACACCAGGTTTAATGTAACTCAATCAACATCATAATTTTGTTTACCCCAAAAATAAATTTCAAATTGTTCCTCCTTTAAAAATAAATAAATAAAACAGTTACAATAAAAGTGAAAGGGCCAATCCGTAAGTCTTATAATACTGTCTCAATAGTTTAGACAAGAAAAAAATGTTAACATGATTTTAGTGTGAAAAATGCCTTACTGTGTAGCCTTTACTTATTTATTTAAAAGTAGGGAGGAGTCGGCATGAATGTTTGTATTAATCAGCATACCAAGAAATTATCTTGATTGAGCTAAACTGTTGTTATTGCTCAATATTTAGACTATGGGAATGTGAGGTTGGTTGGTGGTCACAGTCGCTGTGCTGGTCGAGTGGAGGTTCTTCATAGAGGTCAGTGGGGAACAGTGTGTGATGATAACTGGGATTTGGCTGATGCTGCAGTGGTGTGTAGAGAGCTGGGCTGTGGAGAACCTGTAGATGCTCTGGGTGCTGCTCACTTTGGACAAGGATCGGGACCAATCTGGATGATTGCTATGTGTACTGGATCAGAGTCTACACTGAAGAACTGAAGGTCATTAGGATGGGGTAAAAGCAACTGTGATCATTTTAAAGATGCTGGAGTCATCTGCTCAGGTAAAGTATATTACTTTTTTTCTCATCTATGTTAGATTTTTGTGCTTCCATATTCAACTTCAATAATAAATATATTTCATATGTGTGTTTTTCTTTGGTGTTTTTACATTATTTATTTAAACAATGGTTTTATTTAAGCAATGCTTTTGTTTATTGTGTTTTTCTTCAGGAGTCAGGCTGGTTGGAGGTTCTCGCTGCTCTGGGAGGTTAGAGATCCTTCATGATCAGATGTGGATGTCAGTGTGTGCCGCTGCCTTTGACCAGCAGGATGCAGAGGTTGTGTGTAGAGAGCTGGACTGTGGGGCTCCTGTACAGGTGCTGGGAGCTGCTGCTTTTGGCAAAGGAGATGCTCAGATGTGGAAACACGAGATACAGTGCAGAGGAAATGAATCTCAGATTCACCTCTGTCCAACATCACTGTCCGTCAAAAGCAACTGTTCTCAGGAACAGAACATTGGTTTGCTGTGTGCTGGTAAGAGTTAAGTGTTGATTTAGCTTTATACAGCACATTTTAAATTGACACTCACTTTTTCTATTGCTCTCTTTTATACATTCACAGACATAATAAATGTGAGGTTGGTTGGTGGTCACAGTCACTGTGCTGGTAGAGTGGAGGTTCTTCATAGAGGTCAGTGGGGAACAGTGTGTGACATTGGTTGGGATTTGGCTGATGCTGCAGTGGTGTGTAGAGAACTGGACTGTGGAGAACCTGTAGATGCTCTGGGTGATGCTCATTTTGGACCAGGATCAGGACCAGTTTGGATAAAAAATGCAATGTGTACTGGATCTGAGTCCACACTTAAGAAATGTGGATCTGTACCATCGATTTATCATGGCAATTGTCTTGATAAAAATGTTCAAGTCATTTGTTCAGGTAAACTAAAAATTCCATATTATAACATACATTTTTATACAAAATTTATTTTCCATGACCACTTTCCATATTCTCTTTGACTACACACATTGCTGTAATAATCAGGGGCCTTGTTAAAAATACACGTCAATAGCTTTTCTAACTCTACATTCTAATGTAATGAATGTAGCAGGTGCAGCAATGAACAGTACAAGATTTGGTGGACTTCCTTACATTTTACTGCCAAATTTAGTTTTTCTGTTGCTTATGAATAATGGTGTCTATCCTGTTTCCTCCTCATTACCTCACTATGACAGTGCAGACAAATTTTCTTAAAGGTATAGTTCACCCAGAAAATTAATACCTGTGGACCCAGAAAATTAATACTTGTAGCTCCTGATGATATATTGATGTCTTCTGAAGCAAAATTATCAGTCTGTGCAAGCAACTGAACATTACTTAAGCTAAGTTAACAACTTTATTAATCCCACAAGGGGCAATTAAAGTAGGGCAGTAGCATCATATAACAAACTTAATACAAACATAATATATCACATAGACAATAATAATAAAAATAAAATAAAGACACAACCCAACATGCTTCATAATTACGTACATAAACAATAAAATTTAAAATTAAGATTCTAGAATTTAAAAAAAAAACCTTACTAAGACTTTAAGTTGTAAATATGAATAGCCTCTTGAACAAAGGAGAATTTATATTTATTAGATGAACATTTAATGCTTCTGAATCTCCTTCCAGAGGGCAATACTTCAAAGGTAACCTTCAAGGGGTGAGAGTACAGCAGCCACAATAGCACTTATGTTTTATTTATTTTTTCCTTTTTATTCGAAGAAATACCACACGTGTTAACTAAATCTTGAAATTAGCCGTCTAAACACAGCCCAGACGTCTAGGCTAAAACAAGGCTAAATTTAGGCTGTCAGTAAAAATTTAATAGACGTCTAATCATAGCCCAAGAATAGACTAGTCATCAATTAGACCGCTATTAAACGACTACATATATACGTCTAATAGACTGTGAATATGGGTCTAGGCCAGCGGTGGTAGCGAACTCTGGTCCTGGAGAGCCGCAGCCCTGCAGAGTTCAGCTCCAACCCTAATTAAAACTCACCTGCCTGTAGCTTTCTAGTAACCCTTCAGACCTTGATTAGCTCATTCAGATGTGTTTGATTAGGGTTGAAGCAAAACTCTGCAGGGCTGCGGCTCTCCAGGACTGACGTTCGCCACCCCTGGTCTAGGCTAAAACAAGATAAAAAATACAAAAGAATTAATGACAAAATAACATTTTATAAATACAATACACTTAAATATAAATATTATGATTTAAAAAATCTGGAATTTTTAACAACTTAAGATAAAAATATAAAAATGAAAAAATTTAATATTTTAAATAACTTAAGATATTTAAAAGAAAAAAAACTAATACAAATCAAGAGCATGTTTTCACACTTAACATTAAAACATGGACCCTTTTCACAAGACTGTGATGACACGTTTAACGGTCATCAGCATCATAAATCCTTTTTTTTTGTACATACAAATTTTTTTTAAATGTATGTACATTTATAACAGTATTCTTTGTATTATATCACCTTTGCATCAAAGTACAAAAAAAACAGTTAACGCTAATGCGAGGGTGTTTCTAATGCAGCGTCTATGGGAGGGACAGTAAATTTGACAACGTTCTCTCTTCTGACTGCCGTTATCAGTCTCTCTCTATTTTTTTTTCCTTTTATTTTTCCGGTTTACTTATTTTAACAAATAAAACAACCAACAGTGAACTTAAAGGAAATTATTAATTTTTGTTTTTATTTCTTGTTTAAAATGCTTCCCAACTGCATTCCTCAAGTCTGACTCTGTTGCTGCGGGGAAGTTGATCATCACAGCATCTGCCAAATAAGAAAAAAGAAAAGCTTGACATGTGTTTTTAAATTTAATTACACTAATTGTGACAGGGAGTCATTCTCTTTTGTTGGATGCCTACTAAAAACAAAAACGAGATATATATATATAGTGTATCACCATTCAGTGTGTTAAAAAAAGAGAGAAGCTCTCTGGTAAATGTTGTGTGTTTTATACACATACCTCTAATTAGCGAGAACAGTGCAGTCTTTTCAAATGCCTCTTTCTGCAGCGGACCACCCCCCTTCATGTTGAATTTGAACATAAGGGAATTTTTTTTTTAATCCTAAAAATATAATACAGATTGAGGTGGTTAACAATTGCGGACAAAGTTTGACATTTCAAAATGACCAGTAAAGGAATACTTTTTTAAATTTCTGATTTGCGTTGTAACTTATTGAGGATTGACACCACAATGTTTGATTAATGTTAGGGCTGCACGATAAATCGCATGCGATATTTAATGCGCATCTTGTCAGAAAGCCGGTTCTGTAGGTAAATCTCCATCACGTGCGGGCTTTTACATTGAGCAGCATTAACTACACAGAGCCAGTGAACAACGGCTCTGTGTAGTTAATGCTGCTTAATGTGAAAGCCCACAGGTGATGGAGATTTACCGCTGATTACAGAACCGGCTTTACTGATAAGATGCACGTTAAATATCACATGCGATTTATCGTGCAGCCCTACTTAATGTGGCAATATATTTTACAACAACAATATTTTACAATATTTTACAACGACAACTAGGCTTTACCTGTCCAGCATCTTTCTGGCACTGTCTTTTAGGTTTCTTCCTTCAATTCTGCACAACTTTGACACCTGAATAACGCATGCCAATGTCAGGCGGGTAGTATTATATGTGTCCGTGTTAGGGATGGGCATGATTAATCGACGATTGATAATTGATCGTTAAGAATTTCGTCGATCACGTTAATTTGTTATCGATTAATCTAATGCATGTTGCGTTGCGTAGTGTGAGTCTTGAAGCAATTAAATTAATTTCACTGTGTGGCAGCAATTAAACATTTTACCACCAGGGTGCAATATTTGACACCATACTCGGTTATCTGTGATCTTCTGTTTTGATTTCAAAAGAATAATCATGAAGAGGTCACGGCGAAGTGTG